TTCAATAATATATCTCGATATCTCCATTGACAGTCACTGCGTTTCCAGCTGCATTAAAAAAAGAACGGACCAATCACCCCACTATCGTAAAATCCACACCACACTCTCACTGTTTGGGTATACATTGGTCCTTCTTGAATGACCCGAGAATTGTCTTTGCCCCAAATTCGACAGTTTTGCTTGTTCGCATAGCCATTAAGATGGACATGTTATTCGTCGCTATATATGATTTTTTTAGCAAAATCACCGTTCACTTGATTCTCCAACATCCAATCGGCGAATGTCCGGCGCATTAAATGGTCGTCGGGTTTCAATTCCTGGGTTAGCTGAATCTTGAATGGATACAGATCTTTTGTTAAAATCTGGTGCATTGTGCTTTTTGAAATGTTTAATTGTAGTGACCGACGACGCACTGAGGTTATGGGAATTTCCGCCACACTATCACTCACCGTAGCAATATTTTCGGTTGAATGGCCAGTGCGAGGCCGGCCTGTTTTTTTATTGTCTGCAACCTAACCTGTTTGTTCAAATTTGGCAACTAACTTTTCACAGTTGTTTCATTCTAGGCGTTTCTTCTACCGAAAATTCTACGTAATTTGCGCACAACCTCAGCTACACACTCTCCGTACTTGTAATTGTCACAATCTTCGCTCGTTCATCCGTCGCATAACGCTCCATTTTGTCTAACCGTAAGCATTTATTACAACATGCAATTCTGCACAATGCTACCAACTTTTCGGAATGAAAATGTCACAATTCAAATCTTGCGTTACTTTTGGGACACCCTTCATATTGAAAATCGAATATTAAATAGTTAGCTTAAGGTTACAATGTTAAATTTCTCTAAAATCTAAATCTAGTTTTTAGAATTAAGTTCAGGACTTTAAGTGGATGTTTAACCAAAACTTTTACCTAGCCTTTCAAAGTACACCTATTTTTTTTAAATGCCAAATCTTAAGTGTAGTGTAAACAGAAAGCCACCAATTGCATATCCAAACATGTTATTATTTCTAAAATCAAGTGCTACATCAAAACTGATTTTGTCGTTGTAGAAAATTCTTGATCTAACAATAATAGTCTTTTGAATCGTAAGCATACCATAAGACAAAGTTGAGGGGATCAATGTTTATTACAACCCCATTTCTTCCATTTGTTCTCCAAGTTAGGTATTAATATATATTTTTTTAATTTTAACTGGCACCATGTAGGTATCCTGAAAAGGAAACATATAATTGAAAAAAATTCTATTATTTTTGGCCTAAGGACTGCAGTTAACCAATTTTTTTGTAACGCCTTACTTATACAGGGTGAGCCAGTTTTTTGTAGTAGGATTTTAACAGTTGATAGAGAATCATTTTTTAATAAGAAAAGTTCCTATAAACGTAGGTCGTAGAACGCTTCGTCTGTGAGATATAGGGCGTTGAAAACAAACTTTTTTTAAGAATTTTTCTTAATATCTCTAAAAAACCAACATAAACTTCTGCAAACAATTAAGGGAGCAAAAAATTTTTCCGAATTTTTAGTGATTTTTCAGAATGCTGTATCAGTTAAAAATGATCGTATCAAGGTTTTAAAAAAAGCATTTTAAAGCGACGAATGTCTAGTTTCCAGATTTCTTAGCTCAAAATTTTTAGGAGCGACAGTCATCGCGAAATTCTAAGAAATAAGACGAAAAAAATTTATTTTCTATTTTACACAAAAAATCATGATATGGACTTGATAGTCTGTTGATTCAGCTTTAATTTCTTTATTTAAATTTTTCTCTACGTTAATTTGACCCGGAGATATTCGACTACGAATACAAAAGCATCCTTTTGGCTTTAACCGTCGATATCTCAGCAACTAATGATCAGACAGAAAATTGACGGGCAGTTTCGAAATCTCGAATAAACTTCCTACAAGGCTATGTAGCGTTCTTGGAAGAAAAAAATTTTCTTTCATCCTCGACATTAACTTGAAAAAAGTGAAAAAAAGTGACTTTTTGACTTGTTTTGCTAAGTCGACCGCATCTTTGCTAATATCGATGGAGAGTCTAATGCTTGTACGAATTTTTACACCTCGATGTACCCCCAAAAGCTCCGTAAATGGGCAGATCGATCTATCGAACGGTTTTTCCGGACCGCTTAATCAAAATTTCAGAAAAATTTAAAGGAGCAAAATTTACATTTCTGAGCACCCTGTAACGTTCGTAAAAATGAAAAATTTGATTTTTTTT